CCCCCCCCCCCCCTGACAGCGATATATGTGTTAATAGTGATATCTATGTTATTTAATACATACTGAAAAATTTTTAATCAAATTATGTATAAATTGTTGACTTTATGTTATTTTTGACCGGGCATGCTCGGGGAACCAGATTGCCATATATGCTTGTGTAATAAAAAATAAGCCCGCACACACACATAATTCACGTTTAGATTACGTTATCACAAAGTCTAAGTTTACTCGGATAGCCACACTTCTAATTTTTTTAACAAAAGTGTCATTTTACAAATACGTACGGATTTTCTTTCAAAAGAACAGACGGTATTTTTTTCAGAGCATAGATGCAGAATCCATCAGATAAAGACCATTTTAATGGTTCCGTGAGATTTTCAAGACCCACCGTGAGACCTGGAGGTCAGCGCGAACCTGGAGACTCACGGGTAAACCGTGAGACTTGGTAGCTCTGAATATGTCAGAAGTTATCAGCTATAGTATAGGGCTTGGAAAATAAAATCCGATCTGGTGCTATCAAAACAAATATATATATTATTGAGTATTATTGTATGCACTATAGTTTGATGTTAGAGACAGACTACATCTACTAGTCTGTAATTCGTATTCAACATTTATTCTATTCAGTTACTAAACTATAAATACCTATTTTAATAACGATGAATATCACGGCAGTATTAACGTTATTTATAACACCAAGACAGTAGATCGCCGCTCTAGGTTTTAACTTGTTTAGTTATTAGAGAGCTTAAGCTTCGCGTTATACGGCAAACGGCAAACGCCAGGCAAAGAAAAATTTTACGGTATCAGGCAATGAAGAGTAAATGAACTTGCTGTTTTAAAACTGCAATGCACGATTATTCTTTCGACACAAGAAAGAAAATATGAAACGAAAACGTTCAACGACAATTTTCCCAACCTGCCGTTTGTCGTTCCCGCAAACGCGAAGCTTAAACTCCCTATTAGAGACCTTTAGATTGACGTTTACGGCAAACGTCAAACCGCTAGCGAGGTTTTTCACTTTACAACTCTATTATAATAACTTTTACACCAGTTTTGAATATGTTAAACTTATAAAATTTGTGCTCTTTCACAATGATTTAAGAAAGCAAATTAACCACTAGTCATGCATGCTATTCACCAAAGCAGTAAATTAAGATTTGGCGTTTGAAGTTGACGTTTGGCGTATAAATTTCATACTTTAACGACTACAAGCCCTCGTAGCAGTTCAAGCATGAAATTTATACGCCAAACGTGAACTTCAAACGCCAGATCTTAATTTACTGCTTTGGTGAATAGCATGACTAGCGGTTAATTTGCTTTCTTAAATCATTGTTAAAGAGCACAAGTTTAACAAGTTTAATATATTTCAAAACTGGTGTAAAAGTTATTATAATAGAGTTGTAAAATCAAAAACCTCGCTAGCAGTTTGACGTTTGCCGTAAACGTCAATCTAAAGGTCTCTATATCTTTAATTTACAATATTACGTCTTCCTATTTTAATATTAATAATATGCATAGTAAATTATTCCATTATTTCAAAACTTTCATAATATATACGACATGTACGGACTGGACATATACTGTAGTACAAAAAAAATTTGTATGCAAATACCTCTTCGAAATATTGCGCCACTTGTTCCTTGGATAGCTGTCCGAGTTTTGGGCCAGGTTGGCTGGGAGGCACTGTGAATAACTCTGGAATTGGCATTTTAATATTTTTATATGGACAACTTCGTGATCACAAGTCACAGCCGTTTCCCCCGATTTCGTGAGAATTAATAGGCTATAATAGCCAGGCTATAATACTTGTCACTGCCGGTAACACATGTAATATGAACCGTGACAACATGTATTCTATACGTCATCAGTCTACGTCACTACGGAGTCACATGAGGCGCGCGTGCATTAGTTGATCAGAAATGACGTGCTCTACACGCGTAAAAACGCACAGCTTGTAACAAGTCTGCAAACAAGTTGTTACAAGTCTGTTCACAAGCTGTCAACAAGTTGTGTTCGCACTGCTTGTTCCAAGTTTGTTGTAACGAGTTTGGAACAAGCTATTAACATGCAACTTGTAACAAGCTTGATGGCATTATCAGCCTTGTTACAAGACTGTGCTAACAAGTTTGTTACATCCATGATATAACAAGGATGTTACCAGGTTGTCAACACAAGGTGTCAAGGTTGTAACAACCTTGTTACATTAAGCATGTAACGGACTTGTCAGAATAACCTTGCAACAAGTCTGATAATTTCGACAAAGTTGTTCCAAGTTGTCAACAAGTTGTTCCAAACCTGTTGACAACTTGTAACAAGCAGTGCGAATATATCTTGTTCGGACGGCTTGTTGGCAGACTTGTTACAAGATGTGCGATTTTTACGTGTGTATTAATAACACACGTAAAAATCTCACAACTTGTCAACAAGATGTGTTCGTAACAGGCTTGTGGCAAGCTTGCCAGCAAGTTGTAACAATGCTGTTATTTTCTCAAGTTGCCACTCACAACTTGTTGACAAATTGTTGAATTGCAGGACGATAGCAAGTTGTTGGAACAACTTGTAACAAGTCTGTTGAGCTCAACAACCTTGTAGCAAGTTGTCAACAAGCGGTTAACAACTTGTCAACAAGCTGGGAACGAGCAGTGCGAACACATCCTATTGACAAGTTGTTGGAACAGCATTGCAACAAGTCTGCACTCTGCAGGTTTGTTACAACTTGTGCGTTTTTACGTGTGATCATAAATTAAATACGACAAACCTAAAGGAGACAAAGGAGGAGTACGATATTACAGTTCAATCAGTGTAACGGTTGCGTTTTTAATGTATATTTTAGCGGTCATGGCGATAGACAACAAGGATTCTTCGACATGGCCAAATGAACCCGAGGTTCGCCGATGCAGGTTGTGAAATGAGCGGTTTTGAGAATGATTGCATTAGCGTTCATGCCAACTATGATGACGATAATGTATCCGACCGTAAAAGTCTCGGTGAAACGTATGATGAACGGAACCTACAGGTGGCAGTGATATAAAGCCGCAATTAGCCATAATAGTCGAAAAGCGTTGGCACAAAAGGCTTGACACTACAGTCTACAGGACAAATACAAGCGACCCACCACTGATTGACCTGAGAAGTCCTTACGTCACGTACTCATGCACGTCACTCGTGTCAAACAGTGAATATTTGACCCACATTTATCCAACATTGCATGGCGTGGCCTACTAATTTTTAAGCCCCGTTTACACGATCGGATCAAATCTTATTTGACAAATTTCATTTGATCAAAAGCTAGCATGCTAGCTTTTGCTCAAATGCATTTGTCACAATGAATTTATCATGTACATGTAGCTACACGAGCAAAATATCTTGGACATATGAAATTTGTCAAATAAAATTTGCTCGTGTAAACGGGGCTTTAGATGGGTTGAAAACTGCGTAAGCACTTCTAGGAAGACTGTCAATATGTCTGTCATGCCAGATCCATTGAATACGTTTTGGAACAGCAACACAAAGACTGGGTGAGCAGACAATGATGCCAGTGACCAGGACCCATGCAGGAACATGTTTTTGAAGAGTCTGGCTCAGACAGCGAGCAGTGGTGTGCTGGGTACTATTTTTCTGGAGGGGCCAGTGGGCTGTCAGCCAATATGCGCCCCTATAATTTTACACTTGATAAACGAGGGCCGAAGGCACGAGCCGAGTGCCGCAGGTGCGAGGTTTGTCTAGGGGGGTCCGGGGGCATGCCCCGCAGGAACATTTTTGAATTTAGAGTCTCTGAAATGCCATTTCCTGGACTTTGGGGGAAGATTTGACAGAAATCTGATGGTCAGGAAACGGCATTATAACGTGTCGAAATTTGTAATATGGTTAGAATTTAGTAGTAGTACTTAAATTATGCAATGCTAACTACTTCCAGCGATTAATCTAATCCCAATTCTGTTCTCTACTGATCTACTGTTCTGAGCACATTTGCATTTTGGGGCTTCTTTGCCTGGCTGCCAAAAGGGCATGTTTCAGTATTATTTCATTACTTACATTACTCATGCTTCTTGTGCAAACAACTAAATTGCGTACACAACTTTACATCAATTATCATAACTTCAACTATCTAATTTGCGCCGCTCTCGTGATTCGTGAAGCATAATAAAGGGTATAATATAAGGGCATAATACCAGCAAAAAAGGGCATAATTCTCGTGATCGCTTCGATCGAAACCTGACCAATATTCCGGTAATGAGACATTCCCTGTGATCACTAATCATGTTTCTATATGAACGATTTCGTGTGATCTGTGAGGTAGCAAGTACGGTTAGGCAAAATAGTCTGTAATTTAATATATGTCGCCAATGCGCTTAGTCTGTTTTATACTGTAGCCTATAAACACGTCTTTTCTTGGCGGAAGTAACCATATTTTTTCGAGAATGCGTTTTTTCCCACCCACTTTCAAAATTCGGCGCCCCTTTTTCATTTTTGCGCCCCCAAGAATTGCCAGCTGGGGGGGGGCGTGGCCCCCCGGCCCCCCCTGCCAGCACGCCACTGACAGCGAGACTGGCGATGAATCTGAAGAGCTTCTGATCTACAAACTATTGATCCAGTTCCTTTCGTTGTTCATGCAAACACATATATATTATGGACGATATGCCGGTAATTGCACTTTGTCGGAATTACAATTTACAAAGCATGAGTCATGACAATTGATGGGTCACAATACAGCATGCATATCACAATACATGTACAGCATGTCTGCCATGTCACAATACAGCATGATCGACAATTGATGGGCTCTTCAATATACCTGTATTGTGGTATGTTACAGACATAAAAATATTTTTTTGTTGGGTTGGGCAAATGATTTTTAACCTACAGTACTTGACTGGGTATTGTAAATTTCTGGGCTTATATTGGTTGGGTAAAAAAATGTTTGAGTCAAAATAGTTTCTCTTCGAGTCTTCGGCCCCAACACTGGCTATAATTAATAATGACCGATTGATCTGTCCCCCAGCCCTGCAAGGAATAAATAAACGATGCAATAAATGAACTGACGAACGAATTTATACTAAATAGTATTAAAAAATCTTGCAAGGTGTTGCTGCACTAATTCAGTGTCACTTGTTTTCTACTTCGTTTTATTTATTTTCTCATGCACTAAATATATTTTTAACTTTAAATCTATTTTATTATCGTATAGCACGAGTATTGACATTTGTCTTTATTGGACAATGGGCATATTAACTAAAATCCTCTTCTGGCAGATTGCTATATCTTGTTTGTCGTTCAATGGACTGTTTGACGTCATGTTTCTCACTTCTAAGCCGATTGCAGATTTGTCTTGCCAGTTCACACATATCTTTGCCAGTGACCTAAATAAAATTGTAATCGGTACAATATAGTTAAGTCTATGTGCAACTTTATTATTAGATAAGGGTATAAAGGTGAATCACATCAATTCTATAATTCAGTGGCGTACCATCCGGACTATAAAGCCCTGGTGAAGCTATACTGAGGCATTGTTGCGGAAATTAACACGTTCTCTATAGCTATGTTTTCCGTAATGTCATACTTGTCTTTAGTTTGGTTTCTAATTCTGAATTTGTCCAAGTTTGTTTCTGTAACAATATCAAGTTTCATCAATGGCAAGGGTGGCCGCTAACGGAGAAACATTCGCGAGTCGAGGGAACATCACACGGTTTCTAAAGCTAGGTCTACAATAATGTACTTGCATGATGTGTTGCAGTGCGTATCGTTTTCCATCCAGTGCGAAACAAACATTTTGTACAAACTTTCCAAGAAAGTAATTCACACGTCAATGCATTTCTAGTTTTCTACTTTTCAAGATGCAAAGCGCAAAGTCAAAGAATCGATCACACGACATCAGTTCACTTTGTCTTTGAACGGAAATCAAATTCTCGAAACCCTTCGGCTTCGGTCTTCTCTTTACACTGATGTTTTTCATGCGAAGGTTTAGAAAAAGTTTGTCATAATACAGCCTTGTCAGGGATCGCGTATATTCTACCTATACTCTATAGCTAGCCGATAACAGTTTTTTTGTAACCGAGACTTGCTATACCATCATGCATGGCCAGCATGGGTATAAGAAAGGTAGAATACTGCTACACATGCATGCATATAAGCCGTATAAGCAAGTATTCCTATACGAACCTTTTCACTACGTTTCCCCCAAGAAGCGTCCACAGCAGTAAAACTGACTGTTCTTTCCACCAACACCAACATTAAGACCACTGAGATTAAAACTAGAGTAATCCTTGCCATTTTTAACTCCAATCCTTTTTATACTGCTTAAAATTGAACGAGATACAATATACAGCTGTGTGCGCAAATTATTAAATGTCTGTTGAGCTAGAGCCCCTTTTTATATCCAAACGAGATCGTATAATCATCGCTATAAATGGTATAAACAAAAGAGGACAAACTAGATTCTTATCGATTGCATTCGGCCCAGTATCTGATTTTTCACAGCAGTGATTCATGATGATCACCCACAATAGCGGACGCGTAGGATACCTTTTCGGCGCCGACTTTTTAGAATTGAGGGTTTTATAAATGAAAGGCGGGGCAAAGCCAAAGAGGTTGCTGACTGTAAACGAAAAAGTCGAACTGCAATTAAATAAAGGAATTGAAATCGGTTGTTAGTCAGATTCAGTGTGTATTTTAACAGAAGATTATCGTCTGTTTAAACTGTGGTCTGTGTGCCTTTCGTTTGCAATTCTAGTGTTATCAGGAAAATAACTTTGTCTTTGCCTCTTTGCTGAAATGTAAGCTGGTCATGACCATCTGTTACTTTTTTTCAGAAGAAACTGTTTTAATCCTTTTAAGAAAACATATATAGCTAGAGTAAGCTGAGTCTATCTGATTATTTTACTTTATATTATAACCTAAAAATATTTTCTAAGCACATTACTGCTATTAGTGTTATCAGTTTTTAATTTACTTTCATTTATTGGCGGTATCCAAAAAGATAATTTCATGTTGGAGATATCAAACATCTGCTGAACGAAAGCAATTCTTTATACAAAGACGTATAGTTTTTAATAATCAGCGGATATACTAGGCTATACATTTGTATTGGTCTTTATTAAAACAACGCCAGTATCCGCCGTATATACAACACTCAAATTAAGCCTTAAGGTATTAATATAAACCCCCAATATTTTCTGTAATTTTTCTGATATGTATAGTTAGCTATAATTCTATCCAAAGGATTAGCTGTAAGAAAGATTAAGCAGTGAATTAAGAATTTATTTCATCACTTTAAATTGACGCAGTTCAAATAATTGTAATTATAAACCCCACGTCAACTATAAACAATAATTATTGTCGTGAATTTGCATAATTATAACTATAAGCGTCATACGCCGTATCTAAAACAGACGGCGAGTGCAACTAAATTAGTTTTTCAGTCTTTGTGTATAGTTTTCTAAAACCCGTGACATTCAAGTGCACGTGAGCGCCCCTGCATTGTAGAAAGAGATGAGACCGGCGAGAAATAACTTAGGTTTAAGTGTTTTTGATGTTACTCTGAGTGTATATCCACACCGAGCAGGCTGAAAAGTTAGCCTGACCACGGTGGGAATCGAACCCGTGACCTTTGGGATACTTGTCCAACGCTCTGCCAACTGAGCTACGAGGCCAAGTCTGTTCGAGTGTTCGATTCCCACCGTGGTCAGGCTAACTTTTCAGCCTGCCCGGTGTGGATATATACACTCAGAGTAACATCAAAAACATTATATTCACCCGAGTACATAACATCAAAACACACACAAAAATATCATGTCACAGAACACATTGGTATCGAAGGTACCAGACTCAGTTTCGAAATACCACACACTTGAACAGACTTGGCCTCGTAGCTCAGTTGGCAGAGCATTAATTAGCAGTGGCGGAAATCTTGGTGGGGCGGGGGCGGCAAATTGACGAATTTTCGGAAATTTTGACCTAAAAGAGGGCTAAAAACAGTCTTTTCGAGTGCAAATGGGGGGGGGGGGGGGGGTCGGAAATTTGAAAGTTTTGTCGGAAATTTAGGAGGGTTTGTCCCCCCCCCCCCTCTCCGCCAGAAAAAGAGAATTTCCGCCACTGTTAATTAGACTAGTATCCCGAAAATCTCGGGTTCGATTCCCACCGTGCTCAGGTTAACTTTTCAGCCTGCCGCACCTCGGCACCTGCCCGGTGTGGATATACAATACACTCAGAGTAACATGAAAGACATATTTACCTGAGTACATAACTTCAAAACACACAAAAATATCATGATCATAGAACACATTGGTACCGAAGGTACTAAAGTCTAAACTTTAGTTCCGAAATACCACACACTCGAACAGATTTGGTTTCGTAGCTCTGTTGGCAGAGCATTGGATTAGTATCCCAAAGGTCGTCCCACCGTGGTCAGGCTAACTTTTCAGCCTGCCCGGTGTGGGTATACACTCAGAATAACATCAAAAACATTATATTCACCTGAGTAGCTACATAACATCAAAACACACACAAAAATGACTTGGGTTTAAGTTTAAAATATAGCCATTAGTGAGTAGTGGGAACTCAACTTTTTTATACATCCTTTATTAATATATCTTTAATTAACTGCTTCACTCCTTCAGCCAGTTTCAGTTCATTGATTTCTTCACTGCATGCTTTCAACTTTTGAATTCGTAGTCCATAGACATAGTTTGAATAGTTCATGTATGGCATTACCCTGGATTCCAGAGCCTTCGACAGTAAATAATAAATTGAAATGTCGCGAAGGCTCTGGTTCAACGGAGAGATTCTTTGATTAAACCGCGCCAATCACAAAACAGAATGAGTGGTTTTAGTACAGAATCTAGAATCTCCCCGTTGAACCAGAGCCTTCGCGACATTTCAATTTATTATTTACTGTCGAAGGCTCTGGAATCCAGGGTAGTATGGCATATGCTGGTACAACACAGCCAACACATAGTCATAGACCGAAAAATATATTAATAAAAACAAGACGCTCTCATGTGGAGGGCTATCTTTAAGGGCCTGTTCATATGGGGAAAAGTTATCCCGGTTAGCGAGAAAATATTTCGACTAGACAAATAGTTTTGTTCTGTTCATATGTTCATATGGAGAAACGTTATCCCGCTTACCGGGTAAAGTTTCCGGCTGTGACGTAGCACTGGTGTGACGCGCAAGTTAAAAAAAATTTTAAAAACAAAAACGCTGCTGACATGACGGAAAGTTTTCCCACTAAGCGTGAGTAAGCGGGAAAGTTGTGGCTATGTTGTGTTCATATCGGAAAAACTTTATCCCGGTCACCGAGATATCGCCTGTCAACAAGCGAGATATCGGTACACGGGAAAACTTTCCTCATATGAATTAACGCAGTGTAACTTTTCGTATTATTTTCATAACAAGGCGAGATCTTGCTTGTATAAACTTGTCAAAATGTTTTCTCGCTAACCGGGAGAACTTCCCCCCATATGAACAGGCCCTAAATTCTAAAACAGGGAATCCAGGAATCGGGGAATCTGGATTCCCCGTTTTTCAGATAAAAAAATTTTAAAATTGTTATGGAATGAATTCAAGTTACAATTTATATATACTGGTAATTGAATAGTGGGTTTACACAGAATATATTATTACTTATCATCATGATTTATAATAATAATAATAATAATAACAATATTAATATAATAATAATAATAATAAAAATAATAATATATGCTGGTAGTTGAATAGTGGGTTTACAGTGTCAGAATACATTCGATCACACTGGTAGTTGAGGTAGTCGAGCAGGTGTCTTTTACATCAGTATCCTAATCAATATTCACTATACATGCAAATTTAACATTTGCCACTATAATTATAAACTTGTGTGATTTGTTTGTTCATTTGTTACCATATACATGTGTTTGATAAAAACCAACTGAAATGTCACAGAGGACTCCAAATTGCACATTGTCAGTGACAACAGCTATACATAGACACAATAACAGCTATACAACAACAACTGCAGCATGTGATAGTTTGGAATGCAGTTGACCAACAGTTGACCATTTGTTTTGTACAACATCATAACATTCAATATTATTCAAATATTCGACCTGATCTGGTGTATATTTTGTTCCACCAAAGACATAAATATACTTATCAAAACAAGCAGCACATGCAGATTGACGAGCAAATGGTAGAGGTGCAACTTCTTCCCATTGGTTCTTTTGTACATCATATCTCTCAACGCTGTCTTCAATACTATCATGAGAACTCCTACCTCCTATGGCATAAATATAGTTGTCACAACTTACAAGAGCACAGGCTGTTCTTTTGTGAAGCATAGGAGATATACTACTCCATCTTTCCCTCACTGAATCGTAACAATCAGCTGTCCGAAGAGAGTCTCCATGGATACCTATACCACCTAAAATATAAATAAAACTCTTGGGCCTGTTGTTCAAACGCTGGTTACCTTGATCGTGGGTTAACTCAAAATTCAGAGCAAATTTCCCAGCAGCTTGTTTGTAAACTTGGATATATTCCTTCAGAAATCTGGTCGGAACAATAAGAGTTTTCTTTTCTGAAGTTTTGAAATAAACAGACATGTAGAAATGCACAAACCAAAATAATAGGTTAAATTTTAACACTGGGTTCTAAAGTGATAATCGGGCTTTGAACAACTGCGCAGGGGTGTTGTGGCCAGGGGGGTGGGGGGTTGCTGTGGCCATAGGGGACATGCCCCCCCCCATTGTTGAGACCCGTCGGAAAATTGGAAATTTGTTATGTTGTTGGAATATTTGTGGTCAAGCAAAATATTATATTAAATGAAATATCGGAATTCAGAAAAAAATTTTAAAAAATATATTAAATGAAATATCGGAATTCAGATACAATTCCAATATAAGTTTACAGAATAGTCAATACTTAACTTAACCCTGTAAGTGGCAATGCACCCTGATGCGTCCAACTTGCATCCTCTTAACCCTTTAAGTGGCAATTATGCACCCTGATGCACCCTCCGAGTTCATTTCAAAGTTCGAACTTTGATTGTAAATATTCAGGGGTTTCAAAATAAGCCGGCGGCCGGCGGAGTTCCGCCGGCTACTTGAACTTTTACCGCCGGCTACTTTTCGTCTGGTCACAGGAAAAAATTATATACAAAGGTACAAGCGAACCAACACAATGTTTGTTACGTTCCAATTGGAATTCAAGCAAAACACCACTTATTTTGGAAGATCAATAAGATCAATAATATATATTACCAAACATAGCTTGCTTTCTAAGACTAAGTTGGTGTCGAAGTGAATCTTCCTGGAAGATAACTCTGCTTGACTCTGACAGTGACTTAAGCATTGCCATTGGGGAATCCGAATTTGACAGTGAGCCAGAGAACCTTCAGAGCCACTTTGGTAAATGTTTTTGGCAAGTGACTAATTCTTTGACAACGAATTAATTATGATAAAGTGATGAAGTAAAAAACTCTGGGACGTAGTGAGGGGGGGGGTTACCCCCCCCCAACTTTTTTAGAATTAACATATTCAGAAAATTGGGTTGGCCATTCGGAAAATTACGGCAATAATAGTATAACAAAATTTTAGTTGTTAAACAGAGAAAATTTAATATAATATAATTGTATTGTCAGTATAAACTGATCTCTGACTCGCATCCCTCAAAATGCTTCTCATATGAATCTATTAGTCTATTTTGGTATTATATAAAACAATATTTATTTGGTATTGTAAATATGTATAAATAGTTTTAACTTATTAGAAGAACTTATTAGATTAAAGAATTTATTAGTTTTAACTTCTTAGTTAGTTTTCTAAATTATCTTACAACAATTTGTAATATAAAGACATATCCGCAGCATATATACTTTCTTAAACAAGTAATTGTAAGTCCATTGTACTTTTTTATCTTAAGATGGATGAATAAAGCTATTATTATTATTATTATTATAATGAATGTTTCTTTGTGCAATGGTAAGAATATTTTCATTCGGTGAAAGATGGAATGTTCCATTCAACTCGGCTGTCGCCTCGTTGAATGGAACATTCCATCTTTCACCTCATGAAAATATTCTTACCATTGCACTCATAAACATTCATTATTTGTATAACATATGCCTTCGCCCATTTAGTACTACTAAATTGTAAACAAATTGTAAATTTCGACATACTAAAATGCTGTTTTCTGACCATCAGAATTCTGTTCTAAACTTCCCCAAAGTCCAGGAAATGGCATTTCAGAGACTCTAAATTAAAAAATTTCCTTGGGCCTTCGGCCCTCGTTCTCAGCCCCTAATCAAAAAGAGCTTTCTACGGCACTGCATGCTACTCAGCTACTGTAATATGTCTGTGCGTAGAGTATGCGTAATTATTTTTGTAAATTGCGTTTTCATTTTCCGGACAGCAAACACCTTCGTGATTAAACTACAAGTAGCACATTAAAGTACATTGTCACTTACAAGTATAAATGCAAATGACATCTAAATCTAACAAGTGAACAGTTGTACTTTATCTTCTCACTTATTCTATATTATCTGATCGTTAATTTGCGCGCGAAAATGTTTTAAATTTCCATGCAAGGAAATGCCTCCCCCTCCCTGCGCGTTTTTTTAACTATCAGTCACAGCCGGCTACTTTTTTGGTACAACTGCTTACTTCAAATCATTCTGAAACCCTGAATATTCATAGTTGGAGTTGAAACTACTGTATAAGGCCATATGTACATATTACTGCAGTAAAATATTGGTCCAGTGGTCTCCCAAGATAAAAATGCCTTTTTAAATAAATTTATAAATGAAATTTTTACATTTGTTTGCAATTGAAGTTCCTGCCCAACTTCCAAATTTGGAAATGTAATTGGCAAGTTGACAACAAAATTGGGAACCACGCTTTGAAAAGTCATCTGAAATCGACAATAATTGAGGTTTATTACTTTGTTTAAATTGGGTTTGGTTTGTTTTGAAAATTTGTTTTTGTTAAATTTCTAAAGACCTGCCCAACCATCCCTTCCCAACACTCTAAATAAACCCCCTTGATTGTACTGACTGATTGCTGACTGATATGGTCAAGCTATTTATATCTCCATAATACCAGTACATACCAATGATATATATTAAACCATTCACTTCACAAACTCCGGCATCAGAACGAGGTGTTGGAATATTTCCAACAACGACCCAAGTGTCTTCACCTGGATTATATTTTTCCATTGTTCTAGCAATTGTTTCACCAATCCATCCTCCAAGAACATATATCTCACCATCAATAACACATGCACCATGGTTTACACGAGGTGACAACATTGACCCTCTTACAATCCATTGGTCAACAATTGGGTTGTAACACTCGACACTGTCGTATATGAATGATTCCTCTTCACCACCAATGGCATATATTAAACCATTTAAAGACGTTACTGCTAAACTATTTCTAGGTTGATTCATTGGTTGAACATTGTTTGTCTGTAAGAATTCAAAGGAAAGATTTGCATCGGCAGCTTGTGCTGGCACCTCACATCTCTCAACATTTGCTAATGATTCAAGACGATCTAATAATGTACCATCTTGCCTTTGTATCAGACCACCAATAATATAAAAATATCTCTTTGAATAAGTTCTGGGGCAGGTAGAGATTTTGGAACACAGTAATTGTTCTTGCAAACATGTACTATATGCTTCATACATCATTGACCCATCATCTTGACATAAAGCACAATGTGTTTCAGCAATTCTGGGAGATACCAGTGGAAGTTTGACATGATTCAGTAACTGTTTAATATATCCACACCTATTCTCAGTATCATACGTAACCCATTTCAACACAGCAATAAATACATCATCCTCACTAGAAATTTTGATACTATCTGATTCAAGAAATGACAGCAATATTGACCACTCTAGTTGCAAAAATTCATCATTCTTGCAAACCTCTTCAAAATGCAAGTGCACATAATTTAAGACTGTTGTAGAAAAACAAATACACGAGTGAAGTTGGCCTAACGATAGAATTCCTAAACAATTCTCTACAGTCAATTCACTGATTAAAAAATCGCAACAATATTCTACTATATCATCCAACTGAAACAGCCGTCCAGCTTCTACAAGTTGTTCAACATTACTTGAAGTTACAGTTATATTTCCTCTGTAAATATAATCAAGAAGCAAGCCAAAGCATTCAGAAGAAACACCTTGTAATTCCACCTCAAGCGAGAACGTTTCTACCATGCCATTGCAAAATAACGTGCGAAAATACGGGCTGGCTGCTGATAATATGACTTTGTGAATACTAAATTGTTTGCCAACTATCTTTATTATTCCATCACAAAATAATGTGTCTTTTTGGAAAGTATTTAGCTTTGAGAGAAGAGATAATGCATAATTCCTTTCCTTCTCCATATTCAATTTTGTTTGTAATCTCAATTTCCAGAAGACCAGAACATGGGGTCATTCCATTTATTATCCGCACCCCCCCTATGGATGAGCGGATTCCTACCGGTCAGATATTAGGACTTAGGGGATTCCTACTGGTCAGATATTGGGAATTAACAGATTCCTTTGGCCCGATTCCTACCGGTCAGATATTGCCGTCAAGGTGTAGCATACTATATTGCCAAATATTTATTATGAGAATCATAATAATTTCATTTATTATTCTCACCCCCCCCCCCGGTCTGACATTGGGAATTAGCAGATTCCTACCGGTGAGATATTGGCAATTAGCAGATTCCTACCAGTGAGATATTGGCAATTAGCAGCATTCCTAGGGTTTAGATTGATACTGTCGATTCCAACAGGGTACTTCTCTGAAATCCGATTCCTACAGGTAACATTTTTACCAGAGCTCATCCATAGGGGGGGTGCGGATAATAAATGGAATGACCCATGCCCAATACTTGGTGTAATTTAGAATATTTTTTCGAACTACCCATTCGCAGGCTAAACCCACTTCTGTCAGGTAGTTAAACTATGGTAAAACGCGGACTGGACTCTATTTAGTATAACGCGGACTAGGACCACAATTTCGCGCCAAAATTCGACCGCATGGGACAAAATTATGGCAGCGAGCTTTAAAATCCAACAAGTCTGAAAAGAAAGGCAAAAAAGGATCCAGAGTTGCCAAAGTTTGAGTGGAGACTTTTTGAAAGAGAAAAGAAGTTGGGTTGCGGTACGTTTGGGTCGGTATACCTAGGAAAATACAAAGGAAAACCAGAAAAGTGGTTACCAAAAAGACTAATGTCGAGTCCATTGTCATTGACTCGAAACCACGTTTCGTGAAAGAAGGTTGCATGATATACAAACTTCTTTTTCGGTTAGTTGTAAAATATCTGAGGTTTTGTTTATATTACCTCGGTTTTATAAACCGATGCATGCGTATCATCAAGTTTGTATAGCAGGTGCTACGTAATATTCCGTAGCCAGATCGACATCTCACCCCCCACCCCCACCCCCACCCGCACCCCCACCATTGTCGTATTAAAACTCTATAGACCATTCTGACCATGCGAGATGCCGTACCTTTACATGCTGCAATTTGTCGTCTACGATTTGTATTCTGGCGTATGAAAATTACATGGTGACGCCACAATTCCGTTTATTTTACACGGCGAATTTTGAAAGGTAGGGACGTGCTGGGGTCTTGAAAAGGACGATCGACGAATGAGCAATTTCTGATGGGGCCCAGGCCCAGTGACAGATGGATCAAGATTGGGGTGGGTGGTATTACTGATCAAACATGAAACATTTCAGTCGCTAATTAATCTTTTCTTCCCCAACATTTTTGGCGAGGGGGGAGGGAGTAAAAAAAATTTCCGGACATACCATTTTTCATTAAAAGTTTCGATTTAATGTACCGTAATTTCGGTTAAATTTTTCGATAATATTTTCGTAAATTTAGATTTCTAAAATATACTGAATTGTAATATCTTAATCTTGAATTTCAAAATTAAAATCTATACTTTTTATCTTTTCCAATGTTTTAATTTTAGGGGTCCATGATGGCAGGGGGGCTAAATCATCAATAAAACCCCCAATTAATTAATTTAGAAAGTTTCATTTAGATTTCTATTTTAATAATTTTGGCTGTCAAAAAAAGTGGGGGGGGCTAAAGCCCCCCCAGCCCCCCCTCCAACTTTCGAATTTTCCGGCTGGAGGTAACGTTCCAGTTATATTCCGATTTCAATGATTCGTAAATGCGTCATTAATAGTGCTCCAAGACGGGGAACAGATTTTAAGAAATGCCGAGATTTTGACTTTCCGAGGGCTGCAAAATGGATGCCGACAGGAATTTTGGGTTTTCTGATTATGCGTGTCTCAGAATGATGCAAATGCCATTTCCGGGATTCAAATTTAACCCCCCCCCAATATTTCATAAAATGTCCGCCACTTGCACACACGGTGGCTTAAAAGGTCTTAAAACTGTTTATTCTACCGATAAATAAAGGGTTTTATATTGACTGGGATTTCAATAACTCGGACTGGGATTTCTAATAAAAATCCAGCTGGGACTGGGATTTTGCCAAAATTTCAGGTGGAAAATGGGATTGGGACCCCCCCTTTCAGGACCCTCACTATAGGCTAATGACTCGGCAAAATTACCAAACAACAGTCGGCAAAAGATCACTCACCCCCCCCCCCACACTCGAAGAGGGTTAGCGCCGCCCCTGGCTCTCCTACTTCGACATGCTGCCCAGTTAATTAGCTGACTAAATTAAGCAATCGTTTACAAAAAAGTTTACGCTGAGTTAAAATAACGTCTGAAACGATTTGGGAGCAATGCACGTGATTTTATTGGTCTTCATGATACTGACAATTTTGAGCCATTAACTTGACACGTCGATCGTCGCGCTAGAATCCGTCTAAAACATTCTTATCGACTGTTAACGGCTTACGTCGACCTTCTTCTACTCGTGAACAAAGTCTGCTAATTCGGTTCTCGTTGAACATTTAGACGATTTCCTCTTAATGAAATAACGTCCAGTCCGCGTTTTACTAATAGAGTCCAGTTCGCGTTTTACTAATAGTGTCCACTGAGTCCGCGTTTTACTAATAGAGTCCAGTCCGCGTTCTAGTCCAGTCCACGTTTTACTAATCTGAGTCCAGTCCGCGTTTTATCAGTCCAATCCAGTCCGCATTTTACCATATGCCTATGCCTACAAAAATAGCCAATAATTTTTTAGAAAAATCAAAATGTGATCTGGGAATCGTGAGTTATCATGCAATCTCTAGACTGCATGTTTGGGAATAAATTGTGCAGCTGATAGGGATTAGATTGTGAAGACTATTATTATTGCCACTACCTACACTGGCACAGACCTCAGATTAGATTGTGACTAGGCCCTAGTCACAATCTAATCTGAGGTCACTAGGCCTATAAAGTTTATAGTTTTTGATGATCGATATTAAACTAGAAAATACAATCATGATCACTACAGTTAGCTGGCCGTTATATAGCTACAATCAGGAGCAAAAATTATTGAGACAAACGCATGAACGCCCCCCTCCCCCCAATTCAAATAGCATTACTGGTGTGACCGGCCTTAAGAATAGCTGTGCTTTAATTTTACGATTTAAAGCCAAATCTTGTTACATTAGCAAAAATTCAGTTATTATATTTTCAAAATTTTTTTTGATAAAAATCTTAAGGCGGGGCGGGGGGGGGGTTGGGGTTGTCCCCCACACTGAAATGAATTTTTTAGCAAGGGGGCGACTTAAGTCGTGGAGATATTAGGCAAGCGTTGCCAGACTTTGAGACTTCTTAGAGTGAACATATATATGTATATATTCGTTTCAGCTAGTCCTTATATCATAGCTTTAGTACTTACGTGAGCTAAACGTTAATAAATTTTTGAATTCGGAATTTGAATTGTGTTTCAATCGTCTGGAAGCATGCAAATTGGCAATTATCGTACCCAGAGCATGCCCGTTTGCAGGTTAGGGGTGCCCACCATGCAAGGAATATTATAAAATAACATGTATATAACGCGTGCTCTGATTGGTCGAAACCTGTGTTTGGATCAGGCCACCCAAACACGGAAATTTAAAGTGAAAGTTTTTTAAAGTGAAATTTAACACGGAAAGTTGTTATTTTATACTTGGGAATGTTGCACGTGATTTCGCGCGCTTTTCTTAACTCTCGCAACATTCTCGCGTGTTTGGATCATGCCATCCAAACACGGAAACCATAAAGTAATTGTATACTGCCCTATACTGAAAGGAAATATCAATCAGTTTTGGGAAGTACTAAATTAGTACTAAATTACTTCATGTATGTACTTTCAGTGTGATGGTAGGCGCATTTTTTTCACTGATGCCATGTTCGTTACAATTAAATTACTGGACTTTCATACACTCAATTTTACGACCAATCTAACTTCCATAGATAGTTTAGCCCTGTTCATATGAAATGATTTTACTGAACTCCAGTATTTTCGAGCGAGAGAACGACCTTCGCTAGGAAGTTGATGTCACCATTAAAACTATAGATGAAGGCTCTCTTGTTATAAGGGAAGCGTCACATATCGATTTTGTCCATGAGAAACGTCATATGTTCGTTTCTCTGGAGACCCACCGAGAACCGAGCGAAATGCACGCCTTAGGGGCTGATTACATGGAGAGTTTTCAGCCCGGGCTGACGGTTTCCCGGGCTGAAATTTCAGCCCGGCTAAGGATAAAATCCTAGTAAAACACAGCAAGCGATTACATGACCAAAATTCCAGCCCGGACTGAGTTTCAGCCGGGGCGAGTTTCAGCCCGAGCTGAAATTTCAGCCCGGTTTGAGCTACCCGGGCTGAAATTTCAGCCCGGGCTGAAACTCAGCCCGGCATGCATGTAATCGCAATTTTTTTTGGGACACCCTGTATATTGTACGATCAGTTATGCTCTCGGAAATTTAAAGCAGCTTCTTAAACAGTTTCTTTATGCATAAAATTTACTTCTGTCAAGCTTTTATGCACTTGTGGGTTCAGAGTGGTGAGGCATTTGGGTTTTTTTGGGACACCTTGTAGCTTCAAATGTAGCTACAGCTTATCCTCAGAGGCGTAGCCAGGATTTTTAGTCAGGGGGCAGCAAAAACCTATAGGTGGAGCCAGGTACCATTTATTTTTATGGAATGAATTTTCTCCCTCTGAAGGCCTGAGCCCCACTCTGGCTACGCCTCTGCTTATCCTTCTATTTTGAGAAGTTCTAATAAGCTGAACGAATTGAACTATAAGTGAGCTTAGTTACTTATTGTTCAGTTGTGAACTATATTAAAGTAAACGTAGTTACTTATAGTTTTGGGGAAAGAGTATTGGTGTGTAGAAACTGTCGTTTTACAGTTACAGTTAGCATTTTGGGTTCCCAAAAATCTGATATTCTCCCACTCTGTAAGTTTTGGTCGTTTTACTATAAATTACTGTACATATTTTTATCACTTTTGTCAGCCCTGCCAAACATAAATAAGGCAAGGGGTCTGGTGATTGCATGCCCTCCGCAGAAAGTCAAAGCACGGATGTAGAATTATATAATCAGTTTATCTACACCAGGAAAAAAGATTTGTCAAAAATATTGGGGCATTAAAATTCATGCATTTTTAGAACATTGCATATTTTTTGAGAATTTAGGGGCAGTTCCTTGCATGAAATCAGGGTAACAGTTGCCCCTAATATGTTGGAGAACTAAATGAGCGGACGAAACACAGCGATACTCGGCGTGTCTCAAACGTGACATTTTCAACTAAATTTCACCGGTACTGGGCCATACATTTGTCGGGTCATAATTTTGTCTGGCCTGATTTTGGCTGTATTATGGCTCACACTGGTTCATACTGCTTTAGCCGACTTACGATGAACTCTACCCTGCGGAACTGTCTTTTTGGTAGAACAGACTTCCGGCCATACTAATGCAAACAATAACTTTGTATGTAAAAGAATATATCCATCCGAAGCCTGATTAAATTACATGTATCCTATGATCATTAAAATTTGAAAGGGGATGCTGTATTTCTGAGCCAGCAGGTAGCCGGTGTCCCAGGAAATTTGCCCCCCCCCGACATTTGGCCCCCTGCATTTGGCCCCCTGCATGGGCCAAATTTCCTAGGATAATTGAGCCCCCCTTCGGAATTTTGGCCTCCTCGAAAACATAGTTTACTTTATCTTATCACATACGCCATAAGCTCGGAAATAGTAAACATCAAGCTTCTTCTAAAACCAAGTTCCTAATAAAGGAATGCCGAATGTTTTCCGTGCAGGATTGCGTGATCCATGCACGAGGGATGTCGCGAGACTTTCGGAAAGCGTAAAAATACTCGAGCCGCAGGCAAATAGAATGAAATTTTGAGAATCCCGCGAAAATCTCGCGAAGGCATTTTAATTCCTCGTGCAGGATAGCCTGATCCTGCACGACTATTGGTTTTGACCAGCTTTCTAGAGGACAAGTTAATGCATAATGGCTGTATCACTCTAACTTTAAGCTTTAAGCTTTAAGCTAAGGACACGAAACGATTTTTAGAGATAGGAATTTCTAAGATATTACGAATTATTTAGATCTATAAATTCAGTCGAATAACAACTGAACTTTAGCAAACGATTACATCATGCGTCGGCAAAAATTCTAATATGCACGCGTCTAATAAATAACAGTAATTAGGGTAATAGTAGACTTTTAAGTGGAAAATTTGTTCGAAAAACAAAATCAAATGAATGGTTATTTCGTGAAAAACGTTTTTCTATAGCGGGACTAAATCGTCGGGCTGGCTACGCTACTGTCAATTACAGAAGCATTCTGTAAAAACAAAAGACAGTAGACTGGTCCAGGTGGCTCACAAAAATTCCGCAAACACAAAAGCACAAAGGTTTGGATGACTCTCAAAAACATTCCGCAAATACAAAAGCACAATGATTTGGATGACCCACAAAAACGTAATGTTCGTCAGTGTTGTAAGCAATTTTAACAAGAGCGCAACATGGAGAACAGCAAATACCAAACTATCGTGAACTACATCACTGGAGGAGAGTATCCTGCGGGAATGTTTTTGGGGGG